AACTCAGCTGAGAAAAGCAAACATATTTGCGTCGGAATCTCACCCAAGAGCTCAGCGAAGATGCAGCCGACACTCCACACATCTATTGCCTCGCCATAGTTTTCCTCTAGCAGGATCAGCTCGGGTGCCCGATACCACCTAACAAACGGTATGATGCAGTGAGAGGCGTCAAAGGCCATTACCTTGTCACAACATGCCCAGTCAGTTGCCTTTTCAAATTCAGAGTATGAGGGACTATCGGCCCGGCGGCCGTCGCCGTCGACGCTGCTCCAACGGTTGTGTCCTCGGCCTGATAAGCCAGTACTTTCCAAAGGACCCGGGTTCGAATCCCACACACTACATCTATTTCTCTAGGAGTGTTAGGTAAATGCTGCAAGTGCAACTGCTTTTCCATCCCTATCGCCCTCGAGAGACCAAAATCGCATATTTTCACTGAGCAGTCTTGGTTAACCAGACAGTTTGCGGGTTTCTACTTAAAAGAGTAATTTTGACCGCAAACGCAGCCAGTCCGAAAACTACCAAATCGCGATGTAATATTCCCGCAGAGTGAAGATACTTGACTCCAACCAGAAGATTGTATAACAGAGTCTTGATGTGAAGTTCCGTGAGGAAAACCGGCGTCCGAAAGAGCTTCTTGAAATCACTATCAGCAATTTCGAGCACCTAGCAAGAGCGGTGTGTTGGTGAGGGAAGAAGAATGATTACGATGTAAAGTTCATCGAAATTCTCGAGGTCATCAGGCGGACAGATATCCAACATCTTTATTATGTGGTCGTGGTCAAGCCTGAATAGTGAATTCACCATAGCCCCTGGCATCGAACATTCGATTACCTATTGAGTATAGCAATTTCCCTGAGAATTCTCTTGCAGTCAATGAGATCTTCAAACACTCTGTGGATCTTCTTAATAGCAACAATCCTCTGATTATACTAACCGAACAAAACTACAAAGTAAAATCAACTTCATAATACTCTTACTTTATCGTAGCCTCACAAACGTGTCCGTAGCTTCCAGTGCCGATCAGTTGCCGAATCTCATACTGCTCGGGAATCTTCCAGTCCTGATGAGCCTTCGGA